TCAGGACACCGTCTCCACATTCTTTCTCTGCCTGTTTCAAACAGGTGAGGATAACATGACCTAATTTTTAAGAATAACTTCAGTTGAAAAGCACAAACTGATGTATTTGAACAGGAGGAGCCTGCAAAATGAACAGATTTATACCAAAGACTTTCCTCTCTTCCCCTGTAAGGACAGAAATTTGCTCTATTCCCAACCACATACATCCAGCTGGGGACTCCCACACACCCCACAGTTTCGTTTTGTTCCAGCAATTTGTTGGGGAGAAGAAAAGATGGAATGATTTGGGGTGGGAAGCACATGAATAACACCATCTCCAAAATGAGTAGCAGATCTCTGTACCTCAAGGATGCATTCATGTACCATTCAAAGAAATATTAACCCACACTTCCACATGACTTTAGAAACAGATTTCCAAAATAATTTCAGCTTTAATAACTTCAGGTTCTAATGAAGTTTCTAGTAAGTAAGGTGTTAACTACTGATTTTCCCATTGGGTTAGACAAGGAAATTACCCAAGCAGCTATAAATCAAATTTTCCTTTCAATGTAATTGCACCCCTTGCTGTACACACCACGATGATGACCTGCAAGGAGCCACAAAGGAGCATCACATTAAACAAAATCCATTCTTGCTATAATTTCACCCCAACATTTTGTTCCCCAACCACCACCAAGTGAAAATTGTAGGCAAAGCAGATTTAGCAGGACCCCTTTAAATGAACAGGCTTTCCTCAGCAAGGGCTCAAGGAAAGCAAAGAACTCTTCAAATCTGGATCATCAGTGGTTGCCACCTGAAGTGATGAACTCCTTGCCTTGGTACCTTGGGAAACTCAAAACTATGATACCCAGTGGAAGCTCAAGTTCAAGCAAAAAGAAGCCACTGAAATACACTGTGGATCATCTCCAGAAAGGAAAGGTAACTGAATCTGTCATGACACTATCAAATGTCATAGAAAGGACGAGCACAGCCTTAGGAGGCCAGGTTGAGGGAAAGGGTCTCTCTTTTGGCCCTCACTCACCTCCTGTGCCAATCTCTTAGAGGTTCTGAGACTTGGCCCTGATACCTTCACCCTGCTGAGGAGCTGCATTGCAAAAGAGCACAGGCACCTGTGTGTCCTCCTCTCCTGGGACTTGCTATTCTGTACCAACCAACCGTGCTCCTCTGGCTCCTCTTGAAGGGCCTGTGTGTCCATAGAAACCCCATACAAACCAGTTTTGGTTTGAAAGTACTGCTGTACCATACACCCTGTAATGCAAACACAACCAGCAGCCTTTGAGGACAGGGCCTGAATGCCTGTGCTCATTAAGGAATCTTTCAGAGAACTGAGCAACTACTTCTACCCCTGAACTACACTTTAAAAATTAAAGTGTTTAACCCATATACTCAGAGGTAAGAAAACAAGCAACTTGCCATCACTATCAATAGCAGAATTACAGCAATATGTCTGAGATAATGAATTCCAGAGACTTCAATCAGAATAATCCAAAAAAGACATTCAGAAAGTGGAAAAACAGAGCACTACAGTGGGATTCATTCAAACACTCAACAGCTTTCCTCAGGAAAGCTCTGAGGTATGAACAGTCCCAGCATTTGAAAGGATCTGTACAATCCATATTGGAGGTTTGTTTCCTCTTTGCTCAACTCAGCTTTTATTCCTATGGAGTTCTACACAGCCCTGAGCAACTACCAGGATCAGAGAAAAAGTGCAGGACTTGAAACAGCCCTTTATCTCTACAGTCATCAGTACATCACTTTTCTAGTGAAAAAGATTTAGGGAGTTAACGAGAAAAGTTCTTCGCAGTCACGCACTGCTATCAGAAAATCAAACATGATAAAACAAGTGCTGCAACCCACAAGCAATGAGAAAACAGATGAAGTGGGCAGGGATGACAAGGCTTGAGAAGCAGTGGAAGCCTCTGGCTAGGATTGAAGCGTGCTGCTGGGATGGCTGTGCAGGCTGGCAGCCACTGGGAAGGGGTTCTAAGGGTCAGAGTAGGAATGGCCTGGAAGGAGCACACCAGCAAAATAAAAGGCTAAAGCTGTAAGAGCTCCTACACACGATGCCAAGGTTCACTGACTGACCACTGCTGAAGAAAGGTATAAAGGATGGAAGCTAATTGGTTATTAGCTCTCACTTACTCAGAAATATTCAGAAAGCTACTCTTCCAGGCTCTTTTTCTTCCTTGAGGGTAGGGGGAGAAAGTTTAAGAACTGCTTCCAACAAGCCTTGAGAGCTTGTAGCATACAAGTCCCAACTAAACTCTAGACCATCTATGGGATAGCCTATACTAAATGCAAACAAAACTGAGCAGAAATGAGAAAAAGTGCCCCAAAGCTGAAGATCCAATTACCAGAATGTAAAAGGAACTCCAAGAAAATTACAAAACTGAAGTTTCACAAGTATTAACTCCACACACATGTATCAAAAAGACAAAAAAAGAGATTAAATGTGCAAAACACCAGTCACTGCTAAGTGTTATCAACATTACATTAACCCTGGAGGGTTCTTAAGTCATTTGAGGCACCATCAGAATACGGAAATTCTAATATAAAGCCACTACTTTGCAAGCAAACAAAAATGTTCACTTATAATTGTTATAATCACTATTCTTTAAAACAAGTAATTGGTTTCAGTTTGGAGGAAATATATGTGCAGCCAACTGTCCTTCCAAGGAATTAACTGTGAAACATTAATAATATTCTAAATCTTGTAGTGCTAGAAATATGCAAGAGCCCATCTGCAAGGGAATGATCCCCCCAGGATCCCAAATGGGATCAGAACCACCACAGTACCAGAAGAGGAAGAGAACAGCACAGCTGGGAATAGGGAGAACAGAGTTTGAACAGAAAATATTAAAATTAGGCTTTTTAAACGCTTCATAGTATAAACATTAGAGCACTGCGCCCCTTCTTGTGAATAAAACTGCCTGTTCCTAAGATGATTTTTATGAATGAGATTCATCTACAAAGGCAGGACTACAAACATCAGAAGGGCAAAGTAAAACGAACTTCTTAGTCCTGAGGTTGGTTTTATTTCATAGGAGAAACAGCAGGAGACTGGTTCTGTGTTAGATCTAAGGTAATACAGATGCCAAATGACATTTCTGAGGCAGTGTGGAGCTGTGAGGAGCTATCAGGAAAAGCAGACTGGACACCCCCACAGAAGAAAATAATTGTACATCTAAGCACCCAGAAAGCATCCTGAGACTCTGGCAGACAGAATTAAAGCTCAGCAATCTGAAACCTCAGAGGCAATCTAGCTTTGCTCAGATTGTGGAAGAGAAGAGTTTTTCCTGTACCTAATCAACAACTATAAAAGCTTTTTATGTTAGCTTTATGTAAATTGTCTTTTTACTCTTCCTCATTATTTTCTACATTTGTTAAAATTTAGTTTTAATTAGTCACTACAGAAATATAAAGTATAAACATGTTTCTGGTGTTTTAAGATGAAAATAAGCAGCTGTAATTAGCTGTTAATGATGTTCTGTACACCTACATTAATCTTGTTTATACCAACATTAATCTTGTTTGCTTTGGAAAGAACAATCTTGACAAACAATTATGATTTCTCACCCACAATAATATGGATGTTGATGATAAAGTGCATAGGTCTATGATAAAGTAACCATGGGGAATGACATACATCCCCCATCACATACAGCCACTCCCCTCTATTAATAAAGTTTGGCTACCATGTCACACTTCCTACAGCCCCCCTGGGTGCAGGGACCCATGAACAAAGTGACAAAGTCACCATCACCCTCTGAGACAAAGTAATCTGTGGCCCTACAGCTCCATGGTACTGAGAATTCCCTTGTTTCTCACCTGAACTAACACTTCCTTTTCTGCTGCTTTCTCATTAGGAAAAAGCCATCACATGAATAAAAACAGAGGAATGAAATTAATTTGTGTAAACGTTTTATAACCATTTGAAATCAAAACAGCATCTTCAAGTAGCACGTGGCTGAAAGAATATAAAAACAAAACAAACAACACTTGAGGACAACAACGTACTGTGAAGCCAAAAATACTTTAGTGACAAGAAGAGAGAAGTATCTGTCTTCAACACATTCTATGCTAAGAAAAGGAAGACTCCCAGTAGGTTTAAGTAGGTGTATTCAAATACCTGCACACCCTTTGAAGTTATTAAAAATTGGGATTTTAAAGGAAGCAAACAGAGCACCTCCTTAGGCTCCAGCTGCAGTTCTGTGATACAAAGAGTTTGATGGCAAATTCAGCTCGGGGGATTCCCACCTGAGCTGTGTGTTCCTGTCTATGTGCCCTGGAACATCAGGCCTTGTGCTGGACCAACAAACTGATTTCTAGGATCATGCCATGACCCAGGACACTTACCTAACAACACTTTTATGTAACCTGCACAGCACGGGCCCACAAACAGCTGAAATGGTCCTGACCTGGACTGGTCCTCTCCTGAAGAGGAGAGTAGGGCAGGTATAACCAGGTGAGGATAGAAGGTGACAACTTTCTTAGTCAGCACTTCCACCTTTCATCTTGTAAAGCACACAAGCAAAACTGAACCCAACCTGTACGCTGTCAGAAAAGAACATTTTCCAGCTGTTAAAGATTATTATTGTAAATGAGCAAATAATTGCCCATAGCATCCATTAAATTGGTTACTTTGGGGCAAACCAGTGATGCAAAATTTCCACTGGATTCTTTTAACAATACAAGTAATTGTAAATTGATTTATCTGCTTCTTTATATAATTGCTTCCTTAAAATCTAAAGCTATTTTTAAAATTCCATCCTCCTCACATTTTATTCTCGTGGCTTATTTTCTTTATGGGAATTTTTTTTGGCCAGGACTCCATATTTAACCTACATTAAATCCCTAATTAAACTAAACGCCCACGTAAGCACTTCTCCCAACAGGAGCTGGACAAATCCTAACCCTTACACAATCTACTAAGGGGCCACAGCCATTTTCCTGTAACACATACACAATGTATGCAGACACTCCCAGCCCCATTCACTCACCACTTTCATCAAGTAAGTCTTCCTCGTCATCCCCATCGTTGTCCTCCTCCATCGCCTCCTCCTCATCTTCCTCCTCCTCCTCTTCCATATCCTCCTGCTCCAAGTCCGGGTCCAGGTCCGGATCACTCCCTGAGATTGACTCGTCTGACATGATTCCCAGTGGTGCTCCTGGTGCATTACCTGCTCATGTTCTACCGTGAGGCAGCCCTGCAAGAAAGGAAGAGAGGTCCATGAGCCCAGCGAGTCCCAACCTTTGGGCCTTGAGGCTCAACATCACAGCAGGATTACAGCCCATAAAAACACAAATCTGCCATCAGCCTTTCAAATAACAGTTATATCAGACTGTTAAATATCAGCCAGTGCACAAAATCCTGTGCAGAAAATGGATGCCATAAGCAATGCATCATAATGATACAGGTCCAGCATTGGAGAATCAGAATCAGTACCAATATATTAACCAATCACTCAAAGCCCCCAGGTCTTTATTGGTACCCCTGACATGTGCACAGTAGAAAGATTCCTGGTATCAGTGTCTGATTGTTCAGAGATGCAAAAACAAATAAATTACGTGAGCAGCTTCAGAACACTGCTGTCCAAATATGAAGCATAGGAAGAAGGATCACTCCCAGAGTTCCCCTACAGATACCCATTACCCTGATCCCTGCATGCAGCATCACAGTGTGCACACATGGGGCAGAGACAGGAACCCCCCTCCTGCCTCAGCTGTACCCACTGCCAAGGTCACCCAGCTCCTGTCACAGCCTGGCTGAACTCCCTGATCCAACTATGCCACAGAAACAGTGTTACCTTAATAATTCGGATAGAAGGCAACAAAGATCCAGTTTCTAAAGGTTGAAAGTCCCTTGTAGAACAGGGTAAGAAGAAAAGTAAACGCAAGGGAAGGATGGATCAGACAGAATTTGCATTTCCTTTCTCTCAAGGACAAGAACTGGAGCTGGCTGTGCACGAGTCCTCCAGTGCATCACAGCAGAAATCATGGTACAACACAACAATAAAACCTAAAAAGAGGACCAGGACAGTCACAAAGTCACAAGTTTATCTGTTCAGGTCAGGCACTGTCACTTCTGGACAATGATGGGTTCTCCTGAGCACTCCTCTTCCATAAGAACACAATGATCATAAAGGAGCTGGGTAAGATAAGGTGGATCAAAAGAAACACAGCCAAGAAAGGAATATGAGGCATCTTGAGCTCAAGGAACTTAAAGCAAAGGCTGCACTCAAAAATCAAGCTGCAGAAGAATTACTACCCACACGTTCCCCAGAAAGCTTTTAAGAAAGATGAGGGGAACATTTCCTCATCACTGATTTCCCACTGCCCCCTACTTAGGCCACATTTCCAGTGTAAGCTATAAAATGTTTCAGAACCAGTCAGCCACTTAAAAAACCCCACTTCTAAGCTGATAAGGCCCCTCACAGATCTACAAACACTTCAAGAAACAGAAAAATGTCATTTTCAGCTGTGTTTCAGCAATTACCAGATGAGCTCAGAAACCTGAAGGTTAAAGACACAACTCAACACCCCTCTAGCAGGGCTGAGAATCCAACTGTCGAGCACGCTGAATTATTCCAGCTGAAGTCATCAGTTCCTGCTCTGCCCCTCTCAGCTCCTCAATAACATTGAAGAGTGTCTGAAAGAAAGAAAACATAAGGGAAGAGCAGGCTTTGCAGAAACTGGCATTGGAAAAGGAAGCCTTTCACCACTTGGTCCCAGGAGCACTTTACCACCAAGCAGAGACAACTGAAGTCCCTACACTATTGAATGTGTCACACGAAATAAGTTGGATTAGTCAAACAGATGGCAGAAAAGGCCAAAATCTGAATTAGCTCAAGTGGAAGTGTGCCAGTTTACACAAGCCAAAGATATTAATTCAGCTTCTGTGGTAGGCAGGTACGAGCCCTGTTGCTGTCAGGTTGCTGCAACACAGTGACCTCCAGCATCACTTGCTTTCTGACGTCTGGTGCTTCAGCCAAGGGCTGCAGACACAAAGCCATCTATTATCACAAATTTTTCCTGACAAATGTTGTGCTGAAGTCTCTGTGTATTTCACAACAGCAGCTTATTTTTTCTTTTAAGTAGCAACAGTGTTCCCTTCCAGCTGATATCCAGCCCTAATGAAAACAAACATACTCAAACCTGTAACTTGCAAAGCTGCACAAACCAAACAAACAAACTCAAACACTACTAACATGGCAGGAATGAATTCTCATCTACGAACAGAAAAAACAGAAGTGCTGTAATGTCACTAAATGCTCCAGGTCAAAGAATGACACATGATACAGTTTCTCCCATCAGTATCCTCCTGTGTGTCACCCTCTTTTGTTTCATCATTTGTCAAAGAGCTTTAAAAAAACCCCAAATCAAAACACGTAACACTTTCCAAACACTGTTTAAAGGTAAGGACATGGGTCCTTGTATTTCTATAAATAAAATCAAATCCAGTGGAGAATGGCTCTCTCTCAAATTGGAGTACAAAAGGGCTCAAATCTAAGCTTTATTTTTGTTTAGCAGTAAATACACGTTCCATATAAGCCAACTCCTGACACCCGCTCGCAGCCCCAGCCATATGCAGGAGAGTTAAACAGAAGCTTTTCAAAAGACTTAATTAAATCTTGCAGAAGCTGGGTGAAACAGAGATGATTAACTCCTCTGTGCCCATTGTCGTGGTGCTGTCTGTTGTCCTCCCTCCCTCCCTCCTCCTGGGCTCTGGCAGCTCCACTCGGCATTGCCTGAGCCCGGCTCTCGGGAGGGCTCCCATCCCACCCTGCCTGGTGGCACTGGGAGCAGGGAGCAGGTACACGGGACACAGCCCAGAGACTGCCCTCGTTTCTCACACCGATCTGACCCAGTTCAGAGCCTCCCACCAAGGGGAATTACACAACAGGGCCAGATTGTAGCTGCTGCTACTGTTTTATGGCTGAGTTATTCCAACCTGCCCCATCTCCTGCCTTTGCACATGCAGGCACACTGTGCTCAACCTTTAATCGCTGCAGGAAGGGCACTCTGCGAGAGATAAACTGATTACCTGCAACTGGACTCTTGGGCTGTGCCACATTGGAGCCCCTGCCCTGCCACAGGACAGGAGCTGCCCCCCAGCAGAATGTGTGCCATGAGGAGGGTGACAGCACCAAGAAACACACATCAAACCTGCTGCATCATCCCTACAGACAGCCAGACACCCTTACAGTACAGTGCCTCAACACGTGGTGAGGCTGCTGAGAAACCAGGGTGGGATATTAGGGGAAAACACTGAGAAGTTCCTCCTGCTTACTCAGGGAGGAGAAAAGAGCTGTCATGTTTATCCTACCCAGGAAGTTAAACCCTGCAATCAACTGCACATCAAATTAACATCCAAGACAGCCTCTCTCATGTATTATGTCCTGTCTTTCAACAAAGATAAAAATAGTTGTGAGGTTTTTTGGGCTTTGCTTTTTTAAGGTAGAACATTTCAGATAGTAAGTAAATGCCATGTGGTGATGACTGCCTCCTCCTCAGCACAGAAAGGAGGCCCAGTTCTGGATGAGGAAACCTTGCAAATTTGAACACAAATCTGTTGTTCTCATGTTTTTCTTTCACTCTTTAAAATCACTTCTTACATATGGAGTCGAGGGAGAAATGTGCAAGCAACTTTTTCCCTTCTGCATGACAGTTGTTCACAGCAGGGTCATGCATGCCGTGAGCCAAACTCTGGGGTGAAACAGCAAACATCAGGGGGTGAGGGGACTTGGGCCACTTCTGTGCAACACCTTCATCTGAGGACTCACCAGCACTATAAATACTAAACCATTATTTAACTGACTATTACAAATACCATGGAGTAAAAAGTAAGGAAGCAGGAAGAGTAGACTGGAGTCCTTCCCTGCCTGAAGAGGAGTAGCAGGGTTCCCCTGCACCTACAAGGAAGCCACAGAAGCCAAAGTGACTTGACAGCAGCTCTTTGCCTGATGTGACACAAGTGACTCAGGCACAGGACAGGCTCATTCCCAAGTACACACATCCATCCCATACAAATCCCTTCAGAAAGGGCAGGTTTAACACTAATGCTGCTCCAGCGCTGAACAGTAAAGAGGATTCCATTACCTCCCCAACCTCCAGCCAAGCCCAATATCTGGGGCTCATCAAGATTTGTGCCTTAAAGCCTGTTTTATAACCGAGACTTCACATTGGCCATTGTGGAGCCTGGCCATAGAAACAGAATCGAGCACGCTGGCAAATCACAAGAGGATTTGCACAGACAGTTTAATAAAAACAGGTACTTCTAAGTCAGTGCTGCATAATGCTCTCCAGTCTCTGCTGTACAGTCATGTTTCGTGGTAATAATAATTTCCTTCAACTGTTTTCCTTTTTTATTTGGCAGCAAAAGAGTAAAATGGTTGGTTGGGGCCACGAGATTCCTCTCAATACTCTCGGCTCACACACAAACACTCCAAACTGGATGTGTATGAAGGTAACTGCTGGCTCCTCAGGGGAAACCTCATCTTTTTGCTAAATCACAGCTAGCACTGTTTTGGCACCTTATAGGCAGCTTTCAGTAACTAATGGAACATTATTATAAAGCGCACAGATGCATCACTAAAGAAGCCATGAGCTTAAGCTTCTCTGTATAACACAAAATCTCGTAACAGTCTGCAAGTAGTAACTTGCAATGTTATTGCAAAATAATTAATACTTCTCTGTTCAAGTTAAAAATCTACCAAGAAATAAACCCAGGATCAGTGGGTTTGGACAGTTTGATTCTAACAAACACTGTAATTTCTCTAACTTATGTTATTAATACATTAACACTTTTATTACATTATCGTGTAAAAAATGGCAGAGGAGAGGGGGAATCACTTAAAAGGATTAAGTATTTTCCCAAAAAGGAGTCAGTGTTACTGACTAATACCAGTCCAGCAGATCCCCTACATGCTTTTAACAAAGCAAACAAGTGTTTACTGAAAAAATCAACAGGAACTTCTTTCCCCCAGGAATAACTTCCACAAATTGCATTTAAAGCCATCCTTAATTGATTACTTCATGATTTAAATCCCTTCTCCCTTCGCAGCCTGAGACTGTTGAGACTCAAGAAGCACGGTTTTTCAGCTGTGACTCACAGCTAACTGGTGGCCACACGCTGTTGGCTGGGAAGGAAGAAAACAATTCTCCTTTTCATCTTGTTCAAATTGCAACAAAACTAAGTGGCATTG